ATTATTCCCTATGTGATGATGAGATCATCATCCATACCCTTAATGGTCTCGGAGACGATTACAAGGAGTTGACATCTACAATTTGGGCACGCAATACGCTAGTATCATTTAAAGAAATCTATGATAAGTTGACTAATTATGAGACGTATTTGAAGCGTGAGGATAAACTGCTCAAACCGACTATCACAGCTCAAGTCAGTCACAAGTCTAAGAGGAAGAGCACTACGTACCCTTCGAATATCTCCAAAGGTTTGACCAATACACATCTTGATTCTATGGATTCCATGCGAAACCCCCCTTATCATCCTAATCATAACTTCTCGCAAAGTGGAAACTCCAATAATCATCCATCTTGGCAGGGTCGTCTGCTAGCTGTATGATAAAATCAGACACTCCGTTAAAGTTTGTCAGTCTCGACCCCGCCTCCCTGCTCTGTGACAAATCTTCTAACTACTCTGACGACTAGCCAGCCCAACTAGATTGTCGACTCTGGCACCTCCCATCACATCACTATTGATCTTCAGAATTTGTCTCTTTACAACACCTATGGCGGCGATGAAGGACTTCTAAAGATATCATCATCGGTGACGGTAAATGACTTCCTATAACTCATACTAGTTCCACAACGCTTACTTCTGATACTACCACATTTACACTCGATGATGTTTTATGTGCTCCTCATATTAAATGCAACCTCATTTCTGTTTCTTAATTTTACAAATATAACAATACTTCAATTGAATTCTTTCTTGATTCATTTCTTATTAAAGACTTGAGCATGGGGGCATCCTTGGTCCAGGACCCGAATAGAGGCAATATTTATGAATGGCCATCAGCTCCACAAATAAGCCAGCCTACTGTTCATTTTTTCATTACGACCCTAGTTGATGTGTGGCATCGTCGTCTTGGTCATCCCTCTTATTCAGCAGAAATTACTTTTTCGTTACTCTCTTCCTATTTTTAAATCGCATAGTTCTATAATGCATTGTGATGCATGTCTTAGTAATAAAAGTCATCAACAACCATTTGGCTCATCTTCCATTTCCTCATCTAAATCATTTGAAATTATTTATACATATGTTCGGGGCCCTGCCCCAATCTTGTCTTATGATAAATTCAGATTTTATGTCATTTTTGTATATCATTTCACTAAGTACACATGGTTCTATCATCTTCACCATAAATTTGACATTTCGACCATCTTTCTCACTTTTCGAAAGTTGGTCGAAAATCACTTTCAGTCTATAATCAAAACGGTTTACTTTGATGGTGGTAGTGAATATCAAGCCCTGGCATCTTATCTCTCAGCTTGTGGTATCCAACACCTCAAGTCTCTCCCGTATACTCTTTAACTTGTTGGCTCCGTCAAATGCAAACATCAGCATATAGTAGAAACTTGCTTCACACTTTTCCATTAGGCCTCCATGCCTTCAAACTTTTGGACAACAACATTTCAAACTGTCATCTACCTTATTAATAGAATGCATACGTCAGTCCTACAATACCAGTCCCCCATTTGACACTATTTCACAAAACCCTAAACCTTCGTAAACTCAGAGTATTCGATTGTCTATGTTATCCATGGTTACGTCCCTATGCCTCTCATAAGTTAACATCACGATCTAATCCTTATGTTTTTATAGGTTTCTCTCTTGAACATAATGCTTTCCGTTAATATAATCTCCACACTCACAAAGTCTTTATATCATGTCACGTTGAGTCTATCTTTTCTTTCCAAACTCATATCAATCCTACCATGTGGACCACTTCATTAACCATTCCTCACTGGCGTATACCTCTGATCCAACCGGACGAGCCTCCCATGACATCGTCTAGTTCCTCCTCTCATGATCCACACTATATCACTCCTAAAGTTCAACAATTACCCATTCCCTCCATTCCTACTCCATTCCTACTTCACTTTTTTCTTCTTCATATATTGGGGTAATTAGTTCAGAAACATAATCGTTATCTTTACCTCCTTCTCGGTCAAGTGACACTGACGTACCTCCACCTGACCCAGCCCGTGTCAATGACTCTCAACCACTTATTCCAACAATACAACCTCACGATCCCGTAGTCTCCAACCATCCTATGACCACATGGTCTAAGAGTGGTATTTTCAAACCACGTCAAGTCCTTGACCTCTATGCTATCATGGATTCCTCATCCACCACCGTTGAACTCACCACCTTCACTCGAGCCCAAAAATCTTCGTATTGGCGTACCGCCATATGTGAGGAATATAATGCCCTCCTCCATAACTCAACATGGGATCTAGTACCCTCTCATCATATACAAAAATCATCGGGTGTAAGTGGGCCTTTCGAATTAAGCGGAACCCAAATGGCTTTATTGCCCGATATAAGGCACGCCTCATCGCCAAAGGGTTTCATCAAAGACCTGGAGTTGATTTCACTAAGACATTTAGTCCCATTGTCAAGCCGACTATAATTCAATTTATCCTGAGTTTGGCTACCACTGAGGGCTGGCAATTACGATAATTGGATGTTAATAATGCCTTTTTACAGGGGACTATAACTGAAGTTATTTTTATATAATAACCTCTTGGTTTCACTCATTCTCAATACCCAAGGCATGTTTGCAAACTGCGAAAAGCTATTTATGGACTTCGTTAGGCTCCAAGAGCTTGGTACACAGAACTTGGCTCTTTTCTGACTTCAGTTGGCTTTCACAATTCCAAATCTGATACCTCGTTATTTCTACGATAACATCGTGGGGACACAATATATATTCTGGTGTATGTGGATGACATCATTATCACAGGCAAGAATCCCATAGCAATCCAAGCATTTATTAAACAGTTGGTAGATCGATTCTCGCTTAAATATCTAGGACCTTTGAACTACTTTCTAGGCGTAGAAGCTACATTCACTTCCTCCGGTCTCTTTCTCTCACAAAGAAAATACATTCAAGATTTATTATAAAAAATAAACATGCATGACATAAATGCAGTTACAACTCCTCTCTCTACTAGTGGGTCTCTCAAATTATTTAATGGAACTCCTATTGCGGAGCCCACTCAATACCGATAAGTCATTGGCTCCTTATAGTACTTAGCTCTCACCCGTCCAGACATCTCCTTTGTAGTCAATAAATTATCACAATTTATACAAAGGCCGTCTACTATGCACTGGTCTGCGGTCAAATGAGTCTTACGATATCTTAAGGGGACCCTCAATCATGGTCTCTTTCTTCATAAACACTCTCCATTTCATCTTCATGCCTTTGATGATGTTGATTGGGCAAACAACTTTGATGATCGAATATCCACAACGGGGTATATTATTTTTTTTGGTGCTAGTCCAATCGGTTGGAGTTCTAAGAAGCAAAAGACAGTTGCACGGTCTACAATTGAAGCTGAATATTGTGCCATCACCACTACCACTGTAGAACTCAATTGGGTCACAAATATGCTTAAGGAACTCAACATTAGTTCCTCTGCTTCAATATATTGTGATAATGTCGGAATTACCTATCTGTGCGCTAATTCGGTGTTCCACTCTCGCATAAAGCATATTGCTATCGACTTCTACTTTATGCGAGATCAAGTTATCTATCGTCAATTTCATGTTTCTCATATACATATGGCTGATCAATTAATTGATTCACTCACGAAGCCTTTCGCTCGTAAACTATTTGCATTGTATCGATCTAAAATTGGTATCCTTGATTGGAGCACCATATTGCGGAGGCATGATAACAAATAAGATTTCTCTAACTGTACGAAGAAATCTCTTTAATCTGTTGAGAAAAATCCTTTCTTTTAACCTATATAAATAGGGAGAGAACGAATACAGAGATAGCATATTGAGTTGGAGGACTCCATTAATAGCCTTCTCGCATTTCGAATTGACGCTGTCTTTGGATCTTCTTTGGAGGCAAGATCAAGGTACTGCGTGAGAGAAGGAAATGTGTCCTCTCGCATGGCTTTTTGGGTGCTACGACGGCAACTTGCTCTCTGTCCTACCTGCTGCTTCTGCTGTGTCATTTTTACCAGGGGATCTGATGCTCTCTCCACGTGGAAATCATGCCTTGGTAGGTCAAACTTATCACGATCAGTCATTAAAGTAGCAGAAGAAAGCATCACCATGTAGTTCCATCCCATTCATATCTTTTCCGCACTAGTTTATCTTATCATATTACCGTATCGCTTTGTCTGGAAGCCTTTCTTTTTACCCTTTGCTTGTTTAGTTTGCTTTACTCTTTTTTACCTCATCTTCTTGGCTGTCAATTACAAGAAATAATTATATGAAATATATGAAAGATATTGAGCGGTTTGTCTAAAAACACTCGGTATTTAAAAATTTTTCAATCAGTGCCTCTCATTTTATTTTTTTCAAAAATAATATCCCTATTTTAGGAAATATCTAAATAATTCCTTAAAATTGTTTTTTGGTTGTTACTATATTTTTGGCTTGTTATACTGTTCTGACTACCACAATTAAAACGTACTCACATGTATTATAAATAATTCAAATGGATTCTTAAAAAAAAATACTGTATATGTTATTGAAAAAAAGAGTCAAATAAGAATATTGTAACGCTTTAAAATTGGTAAAAAATAAATAATTTTTTTTAAAAGAAGTATTTTGGGTATTTCAAAAATTATTAGGATATTGTTTGGAAAAAAATAAAAAAAGGTACTCATTCAAAGAGATTTAAAATATTAGTATATATTTTTAGAAAAATCACCCAAATATATTTCAAATAATTATTTATGAATCATGCTTAAAGCATCAAATATGTCGTCGATGCAACACAAAGCACCACCACTCCGACGCTAGGCTTGTGGTGCGACCCACCGCACAATGGGAAATTTGTCCCATCAGACCTCAGGCGTCGGATTCATCATGCGGTTCAATCGAACCGGCCGTTTTGCGACTAGAGGACGCGCTCCTCTTTCGCAGAATCACCGCTGAAACACGTCGTGGGCCGACGGGACTCGACCTGCGCGAAATAACCCGAGTCACGTCCGAGGGGTCCGATTACCACCCACAGAAGGTGGAGGCCACCCTTGCGGACGTATGGCTTCTCAGATCAGAGAGAGGCCACAACTCGGCTAGCTTTAGGCAGCATTTTTCTTGTGGAGAGGAGGGGGTGAAATCGCGTGTCATACGTCCATCACGCTGTGTGATGCGTGCAGGGAGATGATTGGGTGGCTCTTAAGATCCTCTTCCTCCGCCGACGACCTCGTCAACACTACACCACCGGGAGCGTCACGCACCGCCCATGGTAGCTTCGTAATCTCCTTTTTGACTCCGCAAGGTAAGCGGCGGCGTAGTAACTGGTTTCTCTTTCGTGGTTGAATGGATGAGTTGTGATCTCTTTTCCCTCTTTAGGCATTGATGTGTTTCAGATTCCTCCCGTTTCCTTTCCTTTTGCGATCTCGTGCGCGTTGAGCTCCGATCGAGACCGTAGAGATTCGCGTTTAGGGTTCTTTAGGCCGTCCTTGGGAGCTAGCGCTACGGAGTCTGGGTCGATTTTTCTGGGCAATTCGGGATCGGGAAAGAATTAGGCAGCGGGGGAAGGGCATCTGGAGTTGAATTTCTTGATTCGGGTTGGGAGGGATTCCTCTGCAAATAAAGCCGACCCTTAGTGGTGAGATGGGGTTCTGTTATGTTCTGTTCTGTTCTGTTCTTTCTTGTTTAAAGAGTATCTCAACTGGTTGTTCCTTTGATCGCTACATGGCTTTGATTGATTTTTGAGGGCTTGCTAGTCTAAAAGTACTTTCCAGGTATCCTTTTCTTATGTGTATATTATCCTCTCAAAATCCTGCCTTTTTACCCATCCTAATATTTTCTTGGGACTCGGATATTATATTTATCGGCTTGTGTATGCGTTTAATTATCTTTAAATTGTAAAAGAAAACTATTAGGTGTAGTTTACTGGCATCTCTTACATCTTTGAGGGAATTTTTGCACTTTTTTTCTCTTCTTCTTCTAGTAGTAATCATTTAAAGTTGCATACTTTTGATCTTGGTGGTCCATCAAATCTTACATTTTGAACATTAAACATTGTTGATGCTATTCTGCTATCCTCAACTTATTATGTCTTGGAATGGTTTTCATCCCAATATGCAAGCTTTTAATTTCTGGTACATGGATAGAGTTTCATATATGTCATGACCATTGTTCTCTAATTTTATCTTCTTATCATCTTCAACCATAGAACTAATTGGTGAATTCCTCCTCCTTGTTGCACAACTCTACACCTTACCGTTCACTGGGTTTTAGATTGACAAAGTCCTTGGAGACCTACCGATATGTTCCATACATTTCTTTTTGAGTGTCAGCCCATTCGCGATTGTTGTTATATGGGTATTTCACTTCAGTTTTGTTTCCTTATGAAATCATTTGTGTCTTTTTGCAGATATGTCAATATTTGGATATGTGTATAAATTTGAAGACAAACAAATGTAGTTGGTCCTGTCTGTTTTGGACAGTATAGAGAAAATTACTTGCTGACTATATTGAGAAAATGGAGGATGAGAATGAGCTGGAGCTTAGCTTGGGCCTTTCCTTTGGAGGATCTTCAGGAAAATCTAAAAGCAGAAGTATACCTTCGGACTCTATGGTGGAGGAAGGAAGTATTAGTCAATCAATGGGCAGATCTGTGACCATTTCAGATGTTCCATTCAAGAACTTCTTCCAGAATAATGGTGGAAACCAAGACCAAAGCGGGAAACAAGCAGTTTCTCCACCGCAAGAGAACTTCTGGAAGGATATTGGCAAGTGCAGTGCTCCAACTGCGGATGGTTATGAAATTGCACAGAGTAGCCAATCACAGTTTACCAGAAATAAAGAAATTCAGATTGCAAATAACAGAAGTAATGAGACCGAGGAAGAGAATTCAGGTATGAAGAAACGAAGATTACACTCTGAGGAAACAAATTTTCAAAAGAAGCATGAGAAGGTAGCCGGCCATGCTGATGTGGTAGGTAAGGGCCCTGATGATGTCACTGTGCCAAAACATTCACATCGCTCAATTGCTGTAGACAATGCTTCAACCGGTGAAAACGAGGATGTTGCAGAATCCGAGACAGAAGTTTCAAGCTCTTGGTTAGTTTCACAGCATGTAGACATTGCTAAGCGCCCTGATCTTCTTAAAGGTACTGCTAAGCCTGCTTTAAGCGATCCGTCCAGGATTGGTTTCCAAGGGCAGATACAACAAAATTATTCTGGAAATATATCCGATGTTGAACTTCCAAAAGTAACATATGGAACTCCGTCTTCTCTTAAACCAATTGCTGTCTCGATGGTGCCGTATTCAGTACCTGCTAAACCAACTACTGCTGTTGCATCTATTGCAGCAAGCTATCCTTCACCATGTGTTGTGCAAGCCACGCTTCCAACAAACAATGACCATACTATGGTTCAGGGAACAAACACTGATGGCCAGCAGCTTGTTTTTGGGTACTCAGCGGTCCAGCTTCCAACATTAGAGACAAACTCTTCATGGGCATTTGGTTCTCAGCCTCAGGTAGTCTCTTCATCAACTGTTGGAACATCAAACTCGCAGCTTGTTGAAGTTGAGGCAAAGAGATCAAATGGTCAATCTCTCTTCTTAGACACCTCCATGCTTCTGATAGTGATGTATTACATGAGACAACCTATCATAATTAGAAATTTAGCCTTATCCTTAACTTATTATCACCAAAATTATCCATATGCTTGATTTTCTGTATCATGTTTATGCAGTTCCCATTCAGATTCATTCATCAACAAATTTGGGATATGAAAAGAAGTTAGCAGGTGTAGGGAAAGGGAATGGTAAACATGTCATGGAAACTGGAACATCATCGTCTTCTCATGCTGAGGAAGGCAAGGGTATCAATTCTATTTTCAGGCAGAAGGAAATAGCTAAATCACCTATTGTTGAAGGCTTTCTTCATGATGTATCTTCCATAAAGCCTGGTGTTGCATCAAACTTGAAATTCGGAGGATGTGGCTCGTTTCCAGATCTCCCATGGGTTTCGACAACTGGGCCAGGCCCTAAGGGTAAGACCATATCTGGTGTTACCTACAAGTATAGCGAAAACCAAATTAGGATTGTCTGTGCATGCCATGGGTCCCATATGTCCCCAGAAGAGTTCATTCAGCATGCAAGTGCCGATCCTATCAACCCAGAAAACAATACAAGCTTGGCTTCATTCACTAGCAGTCCATCAGGTTCGGCGCAGAACTAGTTTTAAGCTCTTAATGAAGTTAAGCTATGTTGTTCTCTTTTGAGAACAAATATGGCATGGCAGCAGATCATGCAACAGGCACATGACTGATTGAATGTGGTATTACTTGAATGCTGTCTTACTTTACTCTGTACTTAATGGTCTTGTCATCCATTAGCCTTATGTTTTATTCCAATACAGATTTTAAACATTATGAAGAGACTTTGTAACTTATCAGTTGTATGAATCTTATTTTTCCTTGTTTAAATTCGCCCCTCAACTTTCAAAGTGCTTTGAGGGAGGTTATCAATTAAGTTTGCTTGTCCATTGTCTTTTATATTTTCTTCAATCATTTTACTTACGTTTAATAAGCAAACTACATCTATTTTATAGTCTGTTGCTCCATTTCTTAATTATCATTTCTACTTGTGTAAACCTTTAGACTCTTATGTCAAAATTTTCCTTGCAATTTGCTTTTCTAGTAAATGTAGACGAACATTTTAACAGCTTTTGATTGTCTATTTGTTCGGAGATCATGCTATCAACTTACTACAGCCATTTTATATTTCATTGCCGAGGTTCACTCATTTGTTATTAAATTCTGTTGAAATCTAACGATGACATAACTGACACCCAAAATTTTGCACTCTATAATGTAATTCTGGAACATATGTTGTTTTATTTTGTTCATTTTTTCCATATAAAAGATTGAAGGAAAGAAAGGGACCTATTTGTAAAATGATACATTACATAGTGTACAAAATTATCATACTAAAGATGAATTTATTGTGCATATATATAAAAGAGATGGCTGAATTATGCATCAACAGCTTTCATTTATTTAAATTATCATTTTATTTGCTACAATGTGGATGGTCAAATTGTGCATTTATGGAATTTCTGATTTTATATATGAATAGCAGCAGCAGTTTCTCTTGATTGGCAGGGTTTTTTACACTAAAGTATTGTTCTCAACCATCTTGTTGGCAACCGGACAAATGCAGGTAGAGATATTATTGAAATGTATGACGCAGAAAGACCAAAAATTTTTTGCTTGCAAACTCCTTCAGAATCATCTCCTGATTTTTCTCAGGTTTTACAGTCTGTGTCTTTTATTTGAATTGAAATTTCTTATTCCCTAGTTTTGTGTTTCTTCACTGTTTATCTCAGTATGAGACTTTATATACTGAAAACAGAATAGTAAATTATCGAGTTCTTATTTCCATTTTGATGGTTTCGTGATGAATTAGAAAACAACATGATACTATCAGATGCAAGATTCTCTACTAGTAGTCTTTTCTGTTTTTTGTTCTCTTTTCCTCGACAGTTCAACCCAGGTAGCATGTATTGGACTTCCTGATCAGATAATCATTCCTTCTCCATCCGAATAGTGGAATACTTGTACATCTGGTTTTGCTGTCTCATTGTATCTTGGTACAAAATCATGCTATGAATTAGGAATTAGGAATCAAGAGATTGATGATTTCCATATTGATGATTTCCATGTCTCACTGAAATCAAGAGAGTAAATTTTCGAGTTTTTATTTCCATATTGATGATTTTGTTATGAATTAGGAAACAAACATGATACACTATCATATGCAAGATACTCGGCTCAAAGTAGTTCTTTCCTTTTGTTTTTTTTGTTTTTGTTCTCTTTTGCTCAACAGTTTAATCTAGATAGTCTGTGTATTAGACTTTATGATCAGATAACCATTCCTCATCAGAGTGCTAATGCTTAATACATCTCCTTGGCCGCATGGTGTTTTCAGTCAAAAGGCACATGAATTGCTGAAAGATTCATAATGTCAATTTGCCAAACAACTAACCCAGAGCTTTGTGTTTAGGCATCATATTTATGCTTTTAATCGATCAAGGAGACAGGTCATGTGTGGACCATCTCATACTAGAAAGGTACCTCAAATTGAGGAGAGAAGGTTTGGATGTTGGCAATGATTACGGCAACAAGTTCTAAAATTTTTCATCGCTGTTGGATGGGATGTCTGCATTACTCGAGGAGCATAAGCAGGCATGATTATGATTTATGGAGCTACAGTGTAACAAAGTTTCTACATGCAAAAAAACAAGGTGAGCTGGCAGCAGTAGAGTTTAACTTGCTGCAAATGCATTTGATATCAGAAAGGGTGGAAAGGAAAGAGTCGATACAACACCAGCTGTATGAAGCCAGATCGAATGATGACACCTGCTACTGAATGTGGTGGTTCCTTTGGATTTGTTTGGTGGTGAACATATATATATGTTGCATGGACCTGCACAGCTGAAGTCCAATCTCCAGTGGGTGGGTTGTAAATGGGTGCAAAGCTAAAGCTCAAGAGGAAGTCCGTCCATCCATGTGGGAAGCCAAGAATTAATTTAATTGCAGTACCACCAGCCATGACAGCTGCTTACATCCTGAACCGGATGCACACTGCTCACGCTTAAATGGTTGTTCTTATGTCATGTCAGAATAGATTAGATGGTTGAGGAGGGTGAGTTTTACTCCGATCCATTTCATCGTTTAAGATGATTGGAGTATTTGAGAAGAAGGAAGATATTGCCAATATTAACATGCCCCAGGACCTCTCGGTATGATCAACAACATACGTACACAATGCAAAAAATCATGGGCATATCATGTCAGATACAGTATGTATACAAGGGAATAAATGGACTTGTATGGTGAAGTGGAAGGCCTTTTTCCATCATGGTAAAATAAATAGACTTGTCCTGTAAATCTATGATCATCATATCATATTGATCGGTTGGATAGCAGGCTAACCTAAAACTTCCTCCCTCCTCTCCATGGTGTAGGGACAGAGTTCTCTGCAGATTTCATCCAAGCAAGCAAGAAACATGGAACATGGAACACACCAACTTTTAATTGAATCGGCTAACCCATCTCATCATCTTTTAATTGAACCCTAGTAATCGATCGAGTTCGTATGAATCGATTAGATTTTCAATACGTAATCGAATCATAATAAAAATATTTAAGTAATATCTGTTGTCATACATTAAATAAAAAAAGAGAGATAACTATGCAATATCTGCTATTGGCCACTCTCTGGGTCCCTCCATTTCTGACAGCCGCAGACTGTCATGCCCAGAGAGACACGAGGAGGAGAAAACAGTGGTAGGAGAGAGAAAGAGAGAGAGATGAAGGGCAAAGGAAAAGAGATGAAGTGAAAGCATGGGAAGGAGAAGAAGAAACAAGCAAAAAGAAATTATAGAAAAAATAGTTTATTTATTTATTTTTATAGTTGAACTCCTTAAAAGAGTGAGTTGTGCACAAATATTTGACCCCCAAGGCAATTCATCATGTAAGGGTTGATCATTATCACCACCTACTTTTAATCCACCACTGCCAAACAAAGTGGTAAGCAGTGAAGAACTCATTCCTGTGTTTGTTTTTTTTTCTCTTTCGAGGAAAGGCATGATGATGTTCTTGGAAACCTGTCAAACCGGACGTATAAATGATCTCTGTGCTCTCTAATGGTGGATGTGATGGTCCTGCGTCTCCTAATTATTACACCACCCTCTTCACAAAACCAAGAGGATATTTACCGTTCCTTCTCCCCAAGCAAAGGCCAAAGTGCAGTGCAGACTCACACACCATTCCTTTGAAGGGAACTAACTGTCCGGATGTAGAAGCCACGCAGACATCATAGCCAACACACAACAAGAAGCAATTAACCACCCACCTTCTTCTTCTTCGCTCCTCCTCTCTCTCTCTTTGGAGAACCGCATGACCGAAATCCACACCGAAAGAGAGAAAGAAAAAGGAAACAAGAGAGAGAGAGAGAGAGAGAATAGTCTTGCACAGTAAGCATGGTGGTGGGAAGACATGAGACTGCTGCATGCCTCCACAGTGAAGCAGCTCCACAAGAAAGTAATGACCGGAAGAAACATGCAGATAGTTACAAGGGAGCCCCATCATCTCTGAGCTGTTTGCATTAATTGTAGTACACGCTCTCCACTCTTCTTCTCCCTCTCTCTCATTTACTACTCCATCAAAGCAGGCAAATTAGAGTCGGGAACAGTAGTTCCCTTGTTCGTCAACCAAAGTGTATATTTCAGAACTTAATACTGTCATCAGAGTTATGAACCAAAGTTCCCTTGTTCATCAACCAAACTGTACATCTCAGAACTTCAACACTGGTCATCGATCACCGGCTGATGGTTTGTTTGCCAATCTCGGGTCTCTCTCGACATCCTCCTTCCCCTCTGCGGTGCGAAAGAAGCGTAAAGCTGCGTCAGCCACCACCCATTTACGGCCGTACCTTTTTGGTTGGACCCCCACACCAGCAGCCTCCCATGGCGCCAGCATCTTTACAACCATGCCATCAATCAACTTGTCGTGGGCCCACCCGCAGTGGACGGCCGAGATCACGTCCCTTTCGCGGCAATAGTAACAGCGCCAGACCATAACTGTACCGGTCGCGCAACCCAGGGCTCGGGTTAGGGTTTCGACCCCGGTTGGGACGTCGGGTTAGGATTAGGGTTTTGGTTGCCGACCTTTTTGATGGCTTCTCATACGCGCGCGACCGCGACCGTGACCGCGCACGCACACGTACACACAGGTACAATTTGTGGGTGGCGATGACATGTCACAGTACATGTGCCCCGATTCATTGCTTATTTTGATCCATTGGGAGAGTATTATTGTGCCTTTGGCTTTTGCTGCCCATAGATTCTCTCTCCCACACGGAAAACCCTAGTAATAGGTTGGGGTCTCCCGAAACCCTTTTTCCTTCGGTCCATCGTCGATCCCACGCTGATCTCTCCCGTTTCACTTGCCCCGGCCGCGCCTCGGGATCGAAGGGCGAACCGCGGTTCAGGTTTTTATGGTAAAGAAGCTACCGGATTCCTTTTCGGGTTCCCCGTGAGAGGTACTCGTTCTTTACCTTGTTGGGAAGAGTTCTTGAGTTCCAAGTTCCGATTTTTATGCTTCTCTTGGGCTTCTTTCGTCGATCGCTCTACTTTGTTGATGAATTTGGTCTGAAATTGATGGGTATTGGCTTCTCGCATCGTGATGCGTGAGGTCAGCTGTATTTAGTACGGTTTGGAATGTAGTCTAGAAGTTGAATGGGAAAGGAGCTTCTTTTCTGGAGTCGACTATGGGTGTGTGGTTGAGCCTCAGGTTTATGATGTTCCGGTGGCCTGTTTGTTCCTTTGCAGAAGCGGGTAATCAGCAAAGCATGGCTTGATGTATGTTACGGTGCGTATTTCTTTCCGCTTTTGTTATTTTATGTAGTAAGTTTTGATTCGTGTAGAGTGTGTTCGCTGCAGTTTCCGCTCGTATTTCTTTGTGCAATGGATCTTGTGGTTTTGGTTAACCTGATGTACCTATTTGTTAGCTCAAGTCATGCTTTTGTATGTCGTGGGAAGTTTGAGAAAGCACTTGTGCCTTCTATTTTCCTTGAGGAAACCTCGTTACTTGCCCAGAAAGATTCAAGTGATTCGCTATCGTCTCATCTTGATGCATTATTTTATGATCAGTTTTGAATGGTTAGAGGTTGATTGATGTCTGAACTTAACTCTCATCACTCGTGGTGCTCCGGAGAAGATTGTTTCTCTTATATTTCATGTTCCAACTTTGTTCTTTTCATGGCAACTAAAATGATCGCACACCACTTTTCTTTTATAGTGCAAGTGCCTCCTGTGTGTTTGAGTTAAAATTCTCATATTGTGACAGAAATATGTAAAGGTTCTCTTTCTATGACATCATCTTGTGATTTTTTGTTTTGTTTCTTATAAGTGGGGAGTGTTACTTGTAATGGTTAAGTCGCACTGGTCCATTCAGTAATCTCCATATGTTGTTTCTTTTTTGGTTTCATGTTGGCAATGTGTTAGTCTGCACAAGATATAATGTTGCTTCTTGAGTTTGTTGTGATGATACAAGTGTAGCGGCAGTCCATCTAAGTTCTTGGAGGAAGTTTCTTATCTTAGTTGTGTTCTTGCAAAAATCTGCTTGGACATGAATCAAAATGACTAAAGATCGTTGTGCTGATTATATAAATATTTCTGGTTATTAGTTTGATTGAGTCATATTAATTGCTGTACTAAACGATGTTCTATCTTTTCAGGCATGATTAGTTCCTGCTCATGTTATATTTAAAGTTCTCATTGAGAATTTTAAATACTTTATCGTGACTTATACTCTACAAATGACAATGAGAAGATAAGTTTGAGTAATGTTTGTGAACAAATGCATAATACTTTGCATGAATCCTCAAGTTCCTTTATCCATTCCTCAGTCTGTTTTATACAGAATGATGTGTTGTAATCAGTAAATTTTTTTTACAATGCATTTATATGCAGATTCATGAGGCTGGATCAATTATTAAATCTCATTAACGTTTAAAATTATTTGTAGCATTTGAAGCTAAATATGTTTGATACAATAATTATGCTGCTCAAAGTTATTTTGTCTCGATGCACGTTCTTAATTTGTCTGCTTTCTATTCAGCAAGGAGGAGCACATCCGGGAAAGACATATTCAACCTGCTGCATATGATTGTTCTCACCATTTTAAGCTATGGAAGTAGCAGTTAAGGAGCTGTATGTTAAAGGGAAAGAATTTGCTCCTGTGACTGATGGCAAGGAAGATGCAGAAGATTGTGACCATTTCACCATTCGGTATTTCCAGATGTCTATTTACCTACTTTTCACTGTCTGACTTTCTTAAAATTAAGCAAATAGGAATTTTCAAATTCAGATTTGAACATTCGATATCTGCTTTGTGGCACCATGTACTTTGTTTAGGCCTATCTGCAATTTTGTTATTGTTGAAATTGTGGCACCAAAATCACTTTAGTCTGCATACTGAATACAAGTGACATATATTAACTTGTTGAAAACAGTTATCTTTTATTACTTTCTTCAGTAAACTATAACAGAGATATTTCCCTTCTAACAGTGGTTATGTTGCTGGTGTTCGAAAGAGAGATGCAAAGACTTGTTGGCCATTGTTTATGCCCCACAATGAAAGTTCAGATATAGATGCCAACATGCTACCACCACTACATGTTTCTAAGTTCAAACGATGGAGTTGCCTGAACTGTATTAGTACTATTAGCACATCTGCAGATGTAACAGGACCTGCAGATTTAACAAGTGTACTACATGAAGAAATAAAGACAAAAAGCTCCTCATTTCTGTCAAATGCCAATTCAAATAGATTATGTTGTGATTCTAAACAATCTGAAAATAGAATACATGGGGAGAGACTCCTGTCAGATTCTTCTATCAGCATTAGTCATGGTGAACATAGCCCAGCACCATACTGTGTCAAGAAAGCAAATGAATCTACAACAGAATGTGTGGCCAAAGAAGGTATCTGGGCTCTTACTCTATCATAATTTCCATTATCATCATAAGTTTTCATAGTCATTTCCTTCTCTTGACAGGTATCCGAGTATTCACATATGGGAAACATAGATCTGAAGAGAATCAAGATCGGTCATGCAAACCTGCATCCGCTGTGGTTGAAGATGAAAATTTTGAAGCAGGAAAAACCCAAGCAAGGAATATTGCAGTTACTGAGGACAATCCTGAGACTGTTCTTTCTGCTGATGGTTTTCCGATGGTTTGTGCCAAACCAAATGGAGGTGCAACCAGTGGAGTTTCTGATGCAGTTCTGGCTTTCAGAGCCAGCAAAGCATATGCAATCATAGACGATGAGGGGATTACTGATGAAGGTGAAATAGATGTAGTACCTGATGGCATGGTTAAGACAAGCTGGAAATTGGCTGGGGTTGATCTTGGCATCCCAAAAGATGATTCTCTAATTGCAACTGTTGCTAATGTTACCAAATATGCTTTAATGGATTTAGATCAGAGCAATAATGAAGCATCATACAGTAACATGGATTTGTTTGATCATGTGAATTGTATCTCAAATCAGAACAGTGTGCTTAGCAGTCCACACGGAAAAATGAACCACAAAAAGGTTCGTAAGCTACGCTTCCTGGAAGATATTATGAAAAGTGAAGAGTTGCACACATCTAAAAGAGCTTGTACTTTCAAGAGATACTCAGAAACATGTGAAATAAAGAGCAACCATGAGCGAGGTTCAGGTGGACTGGAATGTGAAGCCCAATCTGGAAACTGCAAAAGCAATCTCGTTGGCCAGAACTCTGAAATGACATCAACTGATCCTAATAAAGGTATAGAATCTAATCGGAACAACGATGATGATCTTTGTCTACTGCACTGGCTAAAGAAGGTTTCTAAGAAACTTGTCACCGATGATTCTCAGAACAAGAAAGCCATTGGTGCAAAAGGATATGCTGAAATTAAGCACAGAGAGAATAAAGGTGGTGTATCTACCAGTACGCATAATGCGAAGGATGTAGATCCTCTTTCTAAAATTTCTAGAGAAAGTAAACATAATAAAAGCTATACCACTGAAAAGGAAAACAAGGTGCCTCTAGTAAAACCAAGTGGTTGTTGCCTCATGCAACAGGAAAATTTAGTTTCTAACAATGCAACAGTGAAGCATGTCCATCCTGAAAATGATTATCCTAAAATGAGAGACATAATTTCTGCACCTGGAAAACTAGACAGGAGCTATGATAAAAAAGTTGATTCCAGAATAAGGAAAAAGAAGGCATCACAAGTGGAGAGCAAAAGTTCTTCCCAAATAAAATGGTCAAAGGTATGCAAATTTTATCCTTTGTCATATTGTATTACTTGCAATTTTTATTAATCTCCCATGTTCTTTTCTCAGTTTATTCTATGTTCGAGATTTTAGCTTTTCCATACTGATCAGTATCCTTATATTCAAGCCTATGTACAATATGGTATAGTTTACTATCATATAGAACTCATCCAGAAGCAGTTGGAGAGCTGATATAAGAAAATCTTAAATGTGAATGTATGATCTGATGAGCTACTCTTAATGAAAATTTGTGTACGAGCATTTAATTATTAAAGTAACTGCTGAGTGTGTTTTGAATCTTTTGAAGTCAGAGTAAAATCTAGAATAAGGAAAATAAAATTTCAGATATGTTACCGATTGAAGTTTTTTCATATTTATTTATTTTTCTGTGCATTTCTGATGCTTTTTAATTCTTACATTATCCTGGCTACAAGTTTTGCAAATTTCATTATAACTTCTGTTTGTGGGCCATAGTCGTGCAGCTTTACAAACTGGAATTATCTTGGCAAAACAGATAATATGATCATTGATTAGTAATCCTCTTTCTGTTGCACTTGTGCATGCTTGTTTCCACGTGCAGAAAGTAGTAGTAAAGAAACAAAGGACCACAAAGACACATGAAAAGGAAATTCTGGATGACATTCCGATGGACATTGTTGAACTCTTAGCGAAAAATCAACATGAAAGAAGTCTGATGAATGCTGAGGTTGCCAGCAAAAACCATCATGAGTTGTCAATGATGAATGATAAGATGAAGCATGGAAATATTTTAAATGTGTCTGGATACCGTGGAAGCAAGGTTATGAATGCGATATATATGAGTCATGCAAGTGATACAGAATTTGGTATTCCTACTACTCCATGTGGCAACCAGAATGCTGACCATGGAACAGAAGTCTGCAAGAGTGCCAAATATCAGAAACATATCCTTATAGATCTGAACCAACAAGCTACAGATGCCCTGACAAATCCAGAATATGATGAATACCAACTATGTACAACTCACCTTCATGCCGTTGATTCTAAAAAAAATCGTTCTCTTCCAAATTCTTATTGGGGAAGAATGAGGATGCAAGATTTTGGATTCTATCAGAAGGATCGAGGAGTTTTAGCTCAGAGTTCAAGTGGAGGTGACCATGATATATTGTCAGCGGCATTAAATGGCAGAATACATGGAGTCAGCGCCAGTAACATTCATGCTTATTGCAATTATGGGAAAATGGTGCCTGGTGATTCATTTCTTGATAGAAAACAGAGGACAGTTGTTCAAAAGGCTGACTTTCGGGAATCAATAAATACAAATGGCTTGCATTATCAAGCTGAGGGAGGGAAGTCTGAGCAATCAACAAACAGGACAACTCTACCAACCAGATCTTATCTTGTGGGAGGAGGAAATAGGTGTCATTTAGGAAGAACAGCACCAATAGATTTGCATACCAATGAAACAATTTCTGCATTGCATTTGCTTAGGCTAGTTGATCAAGCAGCTCTGACAGGTCTGTCATGCGATATAAACCATGTAGGAATTCCCCAAGGTTCTAACTTGAATTTTAGTAATAAATCCACAGAGGTGCTTGGTGTGGAAGTTGGAACCAAAATTAGAGAGACCCCTGAAAATCCATCCACAGCTGGTTACTCTGCTCATGACCAAAAAGAAGGAAATTTCAGCAAACCTCACCGTCCAATTCCCAGGGTAGGTGTTCTTGGGTCTTTGCTGCAAAAGGAAATCATGATTCACTCAAACAAGTGTATAGCACCATTGGGTTTTAATGCTAGGTGTTCTGGTGAAGCACCATCTTTCTTAGTTGAAGGAATGGATAAGACAGGTGCCCCTTCTTCATCTATTAATACTGAATATGGTGATGGCAGTAACTGTCTCTTTGGGACTACAAGTGCCAAGCAAATAGTAAGAGCTGGAGATTCTTCTGTACGTAAGTTTGGGATGGGTCAGGTTGGGATCACCAAAAGGAATGAAGCAATCCAATCCGTTAGACATGATTGTCATACCGTAAACTGTGTTGTCAACCAAAACCCTGCAGACTTCAGCATACCTGATGAAGACAACGTCTACATGCGCGGAAGTGAAAATCTACCCTCTGAATATATATCCCCCCCAGACCTCCATGGTATCAAACCCATCATGATGGGAATAAGTGGGAGGTGGTGAATTTTCAGGCATCATAAGCATGAGAAGAGATGCTTTGGCATTCAAGCTTAGGTTTTTCTGCAGGAATTTTGCTGGTGGCCAATCTTTCATGAAGATAGTCACATATATGTGACCTAGTATTTGGCTAGCTTCTATCTGCCTTCACCAATGTCATAAATTTAACTTTACAAAAGCAAGGGTGATGATGATGGGAAATGTTGAGCCATTGCAAGACTGGATCAGTTTGTTGACCGTTAGCTGTTTGGTGCTGTTTCTCCAACAGCTTCAGATCAGGCAGGAATGTTGTGAAAGCAGAAGCATACAGGTATTTCTACTTAAGCGAAATAGTGTATAGACGAGTAAATATGTATGACCAGCTTGTTGTACTTTTGTCCTATTTTTGTTGTTAAATTTTAATAAATCAAGGAGTTGGAACTTGGAAGAACTCAGATTGTTAAGACTTTCTTTTAAGCCTAGCCTTGGTCAGCTTTCTCTTAGTTTTATGACCAGCAGGATAAAATGATGTTATGGTAATTTTGTTACTGTTTACCCGAGTTGTCAAAGTCAAGTGCCTGATTCTTTCAGTTATTTTTTTATACTTCCTGAACATTGTTTTTTCATACCATGGTTGATACCTTAAAGCTTTTACTAGTTATTTATTGGCCACATAAGGTGCAACTATTACTTCATTCATTTTCGATCACCTCACCGAGTGTAGTACATGTTTAATATAAAATCTTCTCCCTTGTGTTAGGTCAGAGAGCATGTTATCTTTTCTTCCTTGTAGTTGGCATATTATCCACATTTCACTGATGAGTAGAACTCTAAAGCATATGTCAAGACCTCCTTTCAGGCATTGAAAAACTTATAACCACATTAGCGAATATATCATAAATATTAATCTGAGGCACCAACATGCAAGGTGAAGATTTAGATTTTGTTGTACATTAATGCTCCTAATATTTAGTTTTTGATATAAGTCTCTTAAATTTTGTTATAAATATAAAGTCCCTATAATCCTAGTGGATCAAGTATAATTTAGGATAGACATGTCCTATAATATATTAGTCTTATTTACATAACACCCCTAATGGAATATATCTGGAATATTCCATCAAATTAAACTTTCAGGCTAATATTAATAAGGGATTCAGGGAACTTTCAGAGGAATAAAATAAGATTTCATTAACTTATATTCAAAATGAAAACCCTCTTCAAAATTACTGTTTCATAAAAAAAAATATTTTAAATTTGAAAAAATGTTGCCGTGCTATCACTTCAATGAAGTGCAGTTTGTTTTGTCAAAGTAGCCACATTGAGAAGCAATTTTCTGTTACAAGCTTAAAAAGTTATTGACCACTTCGAGTCTGGTTTGTTGCATATTTACATCAAGGTTGCAAGACTTCAGCCTGCAATATGGGAAGAAAACAACCTACTAACAATGACCAAATTCCACCTGCATCGTATACACCACAGAATTTATGATTAGCTTTGTTACCCTCCTGCTGCAGCATATGCTGCATGGCCAACGGTGACAAGGTAACTATCGTCAAAATGTGTCTTGATCTTTCATCTTTACTTTTGATCCTTTGTTTTATGGAACTTCTGCATCATATTTCAGAGAAGATGAATTTGCATTACCTGTTAAAACTTTTGCCTTCGTGTCCAACGGTGACAAGGTAACTATCGTCAAAATGTGTCTTGATCTTTCATCTTTACTGTGATTTGTCGTATTTTAGAACTTTGTATCATGTTTCAGAGGAGATTGATTTGCATTACCTGTAATAGCTTTTGCCTGTGCGGTGAGAATTACTCTCTTTATCTTGATCTTTCGTCTTGACTTTAATGTGACTTATATCTCTGTGTTTCAGAGCAGACAGACTCGCATTTCCTGTTAGAACTTTTGTCTGTGTGGCCAAGGGTGACTCAGTTACCATTTTAAAAATGTATCTTGATCTTTCATCTTCTTGATGATCCTTCATTTATAATAACTTTTGCCTCAGGTTTCAAAAAAGATAAATTTTTTTCATTACCTACTACTAAAATTATTGCCTGTGGTCAAGGGAGACACAGTAACTATCTTCAAAATCTGTTGATTTTTCATCTTTGCAGTGATGCTTCATCATCCAGAACTTTTGCCCTATGTTTCAGAGAAGATGATGGCTAAGGGTGACACAGGTAACTATCTTCAATAGGTCTTTCATCTTTACAGTAATCCTTCATATTTTACAACTTTTTTTCTCGTGTTTCTGAAGAAGATGGATTTGCCTGCCTATCTTCAAAAATGTGTTTTGGTCTTTTTGATCTTTACTGGGATGCTTCATCTTTTGGAACTTTTTGCCTCCTGTTAAAGAGAAGATGGATTTGCATTGCCATTTAGAACAGAGTGCTTGAGTTTATCAGCACAAACGAAGCAATAGGCTTCTAAAGACAAGGCAGTTTCTACTGGGAAGTTTAATCCTTCTTGTAGATTCCTTCACAGTTTAAGCCATTTTGAAAGCCTGTTTTCCATGTGCAACCTTTGGACACACTTATAATCTTTGGATCCAAATAAGAAACCACCAACTACCATTGTTCACTCTCTCTCTCTCTCTCTCCACCAGCAGTATTAAATGTCCCTAAATATAAGGGTAAGACTGCATACATTAATCTTCTCTGGATGTCATATTAGAGAAAAGTCTGTCTTAATGAGTTCACCCTTTGTATTCAATCATTTGTGTATATGACACCTAAATTAGTCAATGGAATATATATATATATATATATATATATATATATATATATATATATATATATATTTCTTCCAATTCCTCCTTTCAGGAAGGTATTGCCCTGCAAAGATAATTGAGCACACCTTCCTTCCACATTCCAAATATAATATTTGTTGTGCCACCTTCAAGCAAAGGAATCCACAGCTTGGAAATGGAGTGGTTGCCTTCTCCTTTCTCTCTCTCTCTCTCTCATTCTCTTTCTTATTGATTGCTTGTGTGTTTTGGGTAGCTTTCGACTGATGCTAAATCTTTAATCTAGTAGTTCCTCATCTCCCAAAAACAGATAAATGATAGGAACATGGAGCATGATCTCCACATGAGTTGTTCCAAGCTGCCTCTTGTCACCTCAATTAATGCTTTCCTGCATGGCCCATACACGAAATTAATGCTGTCAGTACACCAGTAAGCTTCATGCGATCGCATCATCTGCCTCCCAAACACCTCCGTGTTTCCTCTTTCCAACAACACACCACCATCTCTTCCTCTTTAAACTAATCACTTCATGTGATCCCGAGGAGGAGAAATTTAGCAGATAAATTCGAGTGGTTTCCGAAACCCTAATGTCATTCCATCTGACGAGCGATGGATGAAGACGAATAAGGGAGGGACTAAGAGAGTATACATATTTCAATGAAATGCATCGTTAATCGTCACCTTAGAATTTCTATGAAATGCTTCTCTATAGAGAGAGTATATACATATTTCAATCCACGAAGATGTTATAATTGAATCATCAGTGACTCCAAAAATTCCACTTCTACTATTTTTTTTCTTCTTTTATTGAAAGGACTATAGAATTAAATCTATATTAAGTGTTTTTAGCCAAATAATTTCTGATTGCATACAATTATTAAGAAAGGAACATTATGATAATACATCTGCAGCTCAAACAAACAAACAATTAGAACGAGATTTGCTTCAAGACAGACGGAAGATTCGTGCAATAATAGCAGACCAGAAGGATACGCTCCAAATCTAGTGGTCCTCTGAGGCTCGTCGCACGTGCATCAGATAT